ATCTATAAGTAATATGTACTACTATTTGACATTTTTGCAATTTCTAAATAATTTGTTATACTCTATGGAACATATCTATTCAAATTATTCATGCTTCTAGGAATGTATGCTATTAAAAGACCTGAAATTATGTTTGATATTTTTGTAATTTCATTTATGGCAAAGAAAACTCAATCAGGGACAAAAACATTTTAACAGGATATATTGCAACAGGATTATATTACATTTTGATAAGTAATTTCTAATTTGTGCAGGGATAACATAAATCATTTATACTAATTTAGGCGTCAAAATCAATATTATTACAATATCTGCCCTTGATTTTAAAAATAGATATTTTATGTAAAATATCTAAAATTAATTTGAATACATATTGTATTTATTAAGGGCAAAATAAGTATTATAAGATATACCTAAGCTCTAAAAGCTAAATCTCACTTATATTAAGTTTCTAAAAGTATCTGAGTCAATTTGAGCAGTAATAACATAATTAATGTTATAGTCATTTGGAGTGAATTGTTATGCTTAGACATTTCAAAAAGCTCGTCAAAAATAAAGTATAAACAAGTTTTCGTGAGATTAATAATATAAAAAATCTAAATGTATTTTGACACTCACTACATGAAATTCAAGGCATTTGAATACTCCGTCAACTACTTCTATATTCCATATTAATTTCACACATGAGCCTGATGATCCAGTTGCTATAAATCCAACTCAAATAGTTGCAATTAAATTTAACATCCCAATAATAATATTTTTCTTTCTGCTCATTATTTCAAGGACCCTCAAATGTATTCCTTAACTATATAGAACCATCATCTGTTTCACTAGCAAAGCCTGGCCATTATTATTCAAGGGCTCACTTGCTATTAATATATTCCTCTGGTCACCGTGCATAATTGCCGTGGCACAATGACCCAAAGTATTATAAATTATCTTAATAGTACTTCATATCATAATTAAAATCCACCCTAGTATGTATTTGCTATGAGACGAAAACAGAATTTCGGCGGTGGAAGTCCGAGCACATTCGGACAATCTATTAGGCGAAATTTATAAGCGCGTTATGGTTATATTGCTTAGATGAAGTGGTCGTTAAGGAGAGTTGGTATAATTGGGATACTGTGTGGGATATGTTTGGTAATAATCTTTTAAATTGCTCGATTACTGAGCCTTGGTCAGATAATTCTGAAACAATATTTATGATATTAATTCGTAATACTTTGAAATAATACTTTTGCATAAAATTATTTAGAAGTTTAAGGACCAGTGTACATTTTTTTAGTCATACACACTCACAATTAGTTGATTTGTGAAAATAGGCAGTCTAAAATTACCCTTGGAAAATAGTCCTTTTTCAAGCATTGCTGCATCTAATAAAATTATTAACTTCCCGTAGGTTAACTTATAGTAATCGCAAAAAAATCGAAAATGAAAATTTTTATATATTATCACGTTTCAAAGGTTTCTGAACATTTTCTGAACAAAAAATGTATGTATATGTGTGTGTGTATGTGTATATTTTCGTCGACAATTTTGGAAACACGTATCAACCGATTTGAATAATTAAACAAACATTCGATTCGTATTGATAATGGGACGTGCTGATTAGTTTTTGGCGAAGGCAGGTCTAGCCGTTCCGAAGATACGGGGCTAAATGTGCCAAAAACGGTAAGAGAACGGAGCGTTCAATTTTAATAATTTAAAAAACATTTTACTTGTATTGACAAGATGAAGAACTGATTAAATTTATGGGAGGGTCCAGCGGTTATGGATTCTCAATAAAAATAAGTTAAAAAATTGTCATTTGGCGGTCAAATATGTTTATTGGACATATGTACATCAAATTAACAGATATTTTATAGAAATTTTAATCATGTGTAAACATTTTGTGTAATTTTTTTTGGGTTAAGTATCAAAATTTTTAATTACGGTACGCAAAGTTCCAGCAATTTGCCTTAAGACACAATGCCACGCGCCCCACTAGTATATGATCTCTATCAGATAAATTCTAATAACAAAAATCTAACTAATCTAGAGAGTTACACTATCTATTTGGGTTGCCATTTAAAAAAAAATAAAAACGGAAAAAAACGAGAATGACGGCTCTTAGGACAGTTAAGTACTAATTACTTTCCGAAAATTAGATTAATCATTCTGAACTTTTAGACAAATTTTTATAAAAATTTGTATATTAAAATGTGTGTATTTACTCTTTTACTAATAACTATGTAATTTTATTTCAACTCTGTTTCCATTTTTGTATGAGAATTTCTTTATAGTTTTATTAGATTGCTACTACCAAAAATAAAAATAATTTTTAAAGTATGTTATTTGCTTTATGACATATTTTTTGGTATTTTCCATCATGATTTTTATCATGAGGTTTTCAACTTTTCTGATCATTTTGTATTAAATGTTAAGATTTCACAGAAATACGAACTTTCTTCTTTTATAATATTTTTCATAATTTTTATTGTATAAGAAGTAAAGTCAAAATATCAAAACTTGGGTAATCTATTTACTCAGTTTCACTATTATATCTTCACTCTTATAAATAAGTGCATTAAATCTCTTCTTTATGAAACAAGATTTTGAGTTGATATTGATAATAAAAGACAGATAGTAGTTTTTAGGATCAGAAAATAAAATTATTAATTTATTCGTCTTAGTGGCCCTAGCTAATGACCCGTAAAAACAAAAACGATTATAATAAGCTTATATGTAAAAATATTTGCAGTAAAACTTATTGTAAGGAAATGTCTGTTTTCTTGCAATTTCCTAATAAATCAATTTAGTTGAAGAAATTAATATTTAAATGATTTTGACTCAACACTAAGTGGTATATTTTATTTTACTTAATTATTTTCTGTTATAGCATAATACTGAAAGATAATCGTTTTCATCTATTATAAATTAAATGTGAATAATAACTCTGGTCTATTTTTTGATTTGGCAGATTGAGTTTTTTTTTCAATTAAATGACCAGCATTTCTGGCATTATTTGATTTTTTAGTAATCATTTATGTTAGTCAATTAATAGAATAAAATACATTGGTTGCCGTCTTTTTAATATGATATACAATAATTAATTCAATGTAGTTAAATAAAATGAGATTTTAGCTTTTAGCTTTGTAAGCGTCAGAACAGTCATTCAAATTGGTCATCTTTGCAGATTACTTTATCTGTAGTCATTAATAACCAAATAATTTGCAAATAACCAAATACCTATCTTATATCAATTAAAAGTTTTGATCTGTTTTCGGCTTCTGACCTTGCAATTATATAGCAATTATAAATCTATGCAATAATAATTTTTTTATCTAATCTCTATAGCAATTTTTCTTAATGATTTTATGTATATTTTTTATAATCGAATTTAAATTATGAGTGTCGCATATGATTGTAAAAGTTTTTATGGACGATCGTAGCTAATTGAATAAATGAATAACTAAATAAATAACCTATCAAAACTTTTTCATAATAATAGAGATTATGATTATCGATAATATATTTACTATAGGTTATAAGTTACGCAAAGTTTCAGAACTGTGTACATAAAAACATTTATTTCGAAACTTTTTGTTACCACTTTGTTGAAAATTTGAAGCAAATTTTCTTCTAAGCAAAAAATGTAACTTCAAACTTTCACACATACTGTAGAAATGAAAACTGATAGAAAATACCTTTACTATCTCCAATTTATATTTAAGATACTTTAATATTTTCATTGCAAAATGAAGTACATTTTATAGGTAAATAATTGTACAGTTATTTCAAATATAAAAATGCATTTAAAAACGTACATGTAGTTGCATTTTGATGGAATTATTAGAGAACAGTATTTCGAATGCAATCTACAAATATAGTAGTAGTATTAAAGAGTTCTGACATGTGTAGTATTTTGAAAACTTGAAGTAAAAACTAGAAATAATTGCACTAAATTTTCAAATATAACGCAATGGCACTATTATGGATTTTTTAACTTATCTTTTTCATAGTTGATTGTACGATAAATCACTACAAAAGCAATTTAGTTGATCAATGATTGGATATCGTGTGAAAGAACTATCTTATATTTTCTTAATTTATTTTCTTAGATATGATCAACTTATTGACACACTTGAGTAGTTTGAGCAATATTTCCATCGTAAAAGTAATTTAAATGGATTGGTTTCAAGTTAGAATGTGCTAAAACATATAATTACACTCTTACAAGAAACCGATTGCATCGGAAAATGTACATATGAAAACTTACACAATATATTTTAATTGAAGTTTCTTGTATAAATTATATTTTCATGAAGTATGAAATTGACATGTTAATAAAATAGAGATATCCATATATATCATAAAATCACATAATAAAACCATTTTGATTTTGTAAAGTTCAAAACATTTTTTACCTGTAAATTATTCAATTATCAATACGTAATGTGAGGAAAAATATTTGTTTTAAATTTAGGAAATACTTTTTTAATTATTACTATACTTTTTCAAGTTTCCATTAAATGATTGTATAACATTTTATCATCAAATCATTATTGTTATAATATATCTTAATAAATGTTATTCCTGCAGAGTATTTAATAATACGTTTATGATGATGAAGAAGATGATTATATTTCTTTTATGTCGGTAATGAATTTTGCTATATTACATTAAGAAATAAACATTCAACGATTTTTATAAGTTTTTATTAATACAAAACATATAAAATAATACTTATGGATAAAATGTCTTGTGAAAGACATCCGAAACAATATTGATTCAAGTATAAGATAGAGTAGAACATTACTCAAAATTGTTATCGTTTAATTAAAAATGAAAGAAATATTATTGATATACAAATATTGAAAATGTTTATACCTCTAAATATGAGTAGACAGCGCATAATAAATACATATTTTGGAAATGTTACTTTTTGGTGATGTTTGTTTTATTAGCATGTTAAACCCAATTTGTATTCTAATCTACGTGGTAGTAGAAGTATTCGAGAATAAATTGATTTGTTTCCAAAAGTGCAAAGCTCTTGTCGTTACTATTTCATATTTAGAGGAATATTTTTGTATATCATTTTTCCTTGTAATTTTCATTCATTATTGGCTTTGTTGGATTCGGTGGATACTGGTTTTCCAGCCTGGGATTTTCCTTGTTGTCCCTTGGTCATGCATTTGCAACCAGGTCCACATTTGCAGCCATCACAGAAGCAGCCAGATTGGCATTGGCAGTCTAGATAAATAATACTGGTCAAAAATCTATTTTGTATTAATTTCAAAATCAATTTTTGGTTTCAAAATGTTCAAATTTGGTCGAATCATATACCTATCACTAGATCAGAGATATGTATAAGATAACACCTCGTTGGGTAATACCTACTAATAATTATTCTCAAAAAAATTTAGTAACTAAAGGTATACCTCTTGTTATAATAAATATAAATAAAATTCAATTAGAATACATTTTTGAAAAATATTAAAACTATATTTATTGTTAAGAGTTCCAATTATATATGCATGTTTAACGCATAAACATTAGACGTTTATCTACATTTAATAGATTTAAAAAAAATGCTTTTATTGATAATTTCGCTATTTATATAATTTTATAAGAGCAAAGCATAGTTGATTCTCATACTAAATTATTTTATTTGTCTACCACGTAATAGAAAACTACAACAAAATCTGTATTATCATGCACGAATAAGCAAAAGGAATTTTAATATCAAAGGTAATCGATGTTTTTTAAAATCATTCAAGCATGTTAATCATGCGATTTATTTTTCTATATTAATTATTGGAATTCTTCCAGCAGAAAAAACAAGTGATAAAAAATAGTAATCAAATACAAGTCGAGAACATTTATTCACGAAGATTTTGTATGAGATTACTATTCCGTTGTTTTTCTATCTGTGTGTGAATGCTTTATTTTTTTAAATCCTGATACGTAATTTTAGAGGTGAAATAAGGGTAAAAAAATTTCATTCTTAAATTTATTTTATAATTGGAATACACTACCTTATAGAACATAATATATATAGAAATAAATTTCTTGCACCTAATTTATTTATATGAGACCAAAGAGAGAGTATTTATATGAGAACAAATATTCTATGTTTTACAGCCAGATATAACTTTATATTATTGGCTGTTAACTTCGTGTAATTTTTTATTTAATAACGAAAATTAGCAATTAATAATGTTTTAAAAAACTTATTCACTTTGTTTGAATTTATTAATTCATTTATTCTATGAATAAATTTTTTTGTTAAAGTTTTCAATAAACTTCAAGAATCATTGTAAGGGGGGTCAAATAATAAAGATTAAAATTAAAGAGTAACTAGTGGGGCGCATGGCATCGTGCCTTAAGGCAAATTGCTGGAACTTACCGTACAAAATAATTTTTTTTAAAAGATTAACATTTTTGAAAAAAAATGACTCTGAAAAATCAGATTTTTGAGAAACTATAAAGACTAAAATTTACTTTTTTTTGAAAAAAAGACTTTTTGAAGAAAAGTGTAATTTGAAATATTTTGGTAACCGCCAGATGGCATTTTATTTTACTTTTTTTACTAGATTTCCGAAGCCGCTAAACCTGCCTTCATAAAAATTTGATCAATTCTTCATCTTGTTAATACAAGTAAAATGTTTTTTGAATTATTCAAATCGGACGCTCCGTTCTCTTAAAAACTGAGTTACTGTTTTTGGCACTTTTTGCCCCATGTCTTTGGAACGGCTAGACCTGCCTTCGCCAAAAACTTATCAGCACGTTTCCTTATCAATACAAATCGAATGCTTTTTGAATTATTCAAATCGCTTCATCCGTGTTCTCAAAATCGTCGACAAAATTTGTATCCGAATACACATACACACACGCACACACACACACATACATACAAACACACATACACACATACATCCATTTTTTCTAAGGTATGCAAAAATATTCAGAAACCTCTGAAACGTGAAGATATATAAAAAAAATTATTTTCGATTTTTTTGCGATTACTATAACTTACCCTACGGCAAGTTAAAAATAAAGAATCAATTAGTAAAAAAATGAAATGTTTATATGTATATATATATATATGTATATATATATATATATATATATATATATATATATATATATATGTGTGTGTGTGTGTATATATATATGCGTGTGTGTGTGTAAAAGTTAATAAACAAAAAATTAAATGAATTTACTTTCAAATTCGAAAAACTGTTTATCTAATAATATTACTCACAAAGTGGAGCACAATATTCCAGTTCATAGATTGAACAAAAATATGACTTTTCAAGCGTTATTCTTCTAATCATATTTTTTAATTACTATTTATTGATCTACCGAATATTTTGAATTAACTAAAATAATATATTAATTTCACATCATAGTATTGATGTGATACTATGAGTTTTCTTAAGAGTTCAGAAAATTTAAAATATTATTACTTGATTTATGATGAATCTGGAAAAATATTTCCATTATAAATATCGCAATATATCTTATTAACTTTTAATAATTAAATAATAAAAACATTAATTTGATTTTTTTTAAATAAACTAAATATTAAATATAAAGTATATACTGTTAATTTTAAAAATATTGTGTGTATACAAGTTTATGTTCCTGTCTTCATAATACACAATAAAATTACATAAATTATAAAAAAAAAATCTTTGATATATTTTTTTTGAATCTAAAAAATCAACACAAATTTAATTAAACGTTATAATTGTGTAAGATTATTATTTAAGCTACAGTCGGTGTTAAATATTATATTAATTTAATTACTTACTACATCAAATAAAAAAAATGTTCAATTCAATTAAAAAAAAAATTAAATATAATTTAATAAATCATAAAAACTATTTAAAACATGGTGAACCCAATGTAGTTAATAACTATTTCAATATTATTCGATAGATGGACTACAAAAGTCAATACGATTTCCAAAACATTTTAATTAAATATTTATTTTTATTTAATTAAAATTTATTTATATTTATTTAATTTATTCACTTACTGCTGTCACATCCTCCGCAAGGCATTTTGAAGCTCGATGTCGTTTATTAAAAAACACAAAAACACTAATTATTTTTTATCTGAAGACAGGTGTTTGTCCTTGTAGAACTAGAGTCGCGTGTGAGGGCTCCGTTGCTCCCGCATTTGTTTTTAAGCGTCCTTCCCCGTCCGAGAGAGGAACGTGTGCAGAAATTATCGTCAGTGGTAACCAATCGCTTTTTGGTAGGGTACTCATTGGTAATTGATATTTAGCAAAATATATAAAAATCTGTTATTTTTATATGAACTAAATTAATTATGAATTTGTCTATTTTGTGAATGCATTTTGCAATTTTGGTTAGTTTTTATATATGGTTAGTTTTTAAAAAAAATCCAAGCTCATTCTAGTGATGACTATATTAGTATTCAAATTAGTGCCTTTGATATTTTTCAACATCTTATGCAGTAATGCTCAATTAGGTTATTCTTACTTGGAAACATGTTTTTGACCTATATTTTCTAGTGACATCAAATTGCATCAAATTGCATACAACGCGGAATTCGAACACAAAATCTCACCCATCCGCTTTCAAAATGAATATTAATAATTAAACAGAATATAATATTAACAAAATTATTGCGCTGATTCTGCCGTAAAATAGACCAATGTTACGGCAAAGGTTATATCACCTAGCAGTTTTAATACAAATGGTACTAAATACTATCAAAATGCTATGTGATTTTGGAGTTTTACATATAAAATGCATTCACTCATCGTTTTTGACATTTGTGCGTTTTTTAGGTTAGGTTTCCTATCTAAAACGCCTGATTCGACAACAGTCACATGGTTTTTGACAATATTTAGTACCATTTTTAATGAATACTACTACATTACATAGCCTTGTCGTAAAGTTGGTTTTTTTTCGATAGAATGGGCTGCTATGTATATTATTCAAAAAAGTAATTCAAGAATTTTGTTAACGCCTATAGCTCAACCCTTTTCAATAAAATTATATAATTCTCTTAATACAGGATAAACCATTATGAAATATAATTATTTTATTACATTTTATACTTTTAAATTTTGCAATGATCCTTCATTGTAATGTGTCCTATATAAACACTTTCCTAATCCTCTTAAGCCTCTTTTCTGAAACATTAGATTCTTTGAAGTTCTCAATCCAACTGCATCACAGGTAATATTTGATTACCAATCAGAAAATAATATGAAAATATATAAACTTTGTAAATTTGTCGATTTGGCGATTTGGCGATTCAAATAATCTAACAAATATTTATAGAAAATTAACATTATTATTAATGTTATATGCGTTCAAAAGAAAAATTGATTACTTCTAATAAATAATCTGTTAAAAATATTAAAAATCACTTAGAATAAAAAGTAATAAAAATGACCTTGTTGTTTTGTATTTTTTTTATTTTATAGAGACTGTAAGAAACATCATATTTTTCCAACTTCAAATACATTTTTAGATTTATTAGTAGAATAATATATTTAAATCGAATAATAATTAAATATTACAATTTTTTAAAAGCATATATCCACGTGATGAATTTTTGGTCAATGCAAATACAATTTATTTTGTAAAAAGTTGGCTTTAATCATAAATGTATATCCAAATATTATCAGAAACGTGTTTATTCTACCCTAATTTTATATTTATATTATTTAAGACGGATTCAAATTGATTATTCTAGTAAAATAGTC